CCTTCGAAGTGAAAAGTAAGGAATTCTGCATTTTAAGCGCAAAATTACTACTTTACTAAAACTTGTCTTGCTTACAATCTAATAACTCGACAATCTAGAATTTCATACAAAATAAAGAACGGAATTTCTTCTTTATTTCTATATAAAACGTTATGAGTCTTATCTTGGTAACAACGTTGACATAAATATATTTTTATAACAAATGACGATTTATAACTTTTATAAGGTCAAATAAATACTTCGTTTTTTCTCAAAATCGGCTTCATAGAATTTTTTCAAACTCTCGTATATTATGCCCACATATTTGGTTCATAAGACACAATATTTGGTTTATGTAGGTAACGTTAAGATTTTGAGAAATTATGCAACAACTAAAAAGGGCACCATATCAAAATAAAATCAATGAAAAGTCTGATCTTGATGAAACTTATATGAAAGTAAATTTTCATTTATCAACTATGTCTCTGGAAAAAATAATGATTGCAGTCCTTCTACAACGCGAGATACAGCGGATTTAGTTCAGGTGGTGGTGAGTTTTGGAAACTGGAATGAGCGTCCTTAAGGTAGGGTTAGGGTCTATCTTATGAGAGAGAAAATATTAATATTTCAGAGCTATATATTCACAAAAGTTATTGCTCATTTAGTTTTACTCTGTATCTAGTTTTAAAAGGAACATTTTGAAGGTAATCGAGATATGCGATTTTGTGAAAGCGTATAATGCATAAGACGGGGTAAACATTTGATGCGCACTTTTCATTGCAGTTTTCTAGGCAATCTTACTAGATCTTCCATTATTCTAAAATTCGCTGGTAATTTCACTCAAAAGTRAGTTTTGGAAACTGTAATGAGCGTCCTGAATTCCCGTGGCTCGGTAATGAGTATGCRGTGAGGATAAAATACTAACCCTTACATAAATGTACTATTATAGCAGTCGACCGATCAAAAACCGGTGTAAACCGGTGATCTAAAAACAAAAACAAAAAAGCTCAGCAGATTTTGAGCATGTCATGATCTTGATTTCTCAATGTTTGATGAAGAAGAGATTGTTGATGGTAAAGATATTCAGTGGTGTATGTTTTATCTTTGGGAAACATGCCTAAAATATGTAAAGAGAGAATGATTATATGTTTACTTCAAGAAAACTTATCGTAGACTCCAGGAGCCATCGGTGTGTTACTCATTATACAAATCAAAGCAAAAATGAAAACCTCCAAAAAACTTTGAAATCTTTTTGATGGATCTATACTGTAGTCATGATTTACAAAACTAAGATACGCTAATGCAAAAARGGAATTCGGAATCTCCATGACATGAAGAGCAAAAACCCAAATGTTTAGAATCGGCGATAAAAAGAAAAATCATATCTGATTCCATCGTTTGAAAAACATGTAACAACGATGAACAATGACTAAGACAGTCAAAATAAAATCCGCAGGAATGAATCGAGTTTCTGTTTTGGTCGAGAGTCGAGAGTCCAGGGGCGGATCCAGGATTTTTTCAAAGGGGGGGTTGTAGCGTTGATTGAGGTGGTGGAGAGATATAGCAGACCAAAGGGTTAGGGAGGCATAGTTTCAAGCCAGTTAATTGTCATAATCGTTACTAAGGTCAAAAAATGTTTAATAGCCATTTATAGTAGTAAAACATAAGTATCTGTATGTGATATATATAGTAATAATCTACATATCATCAAGCAGTGAGGCGTTGAAAAGTCTTCTAGAATGAGCTTTGATGAACGACTTGCATACTTCATCTGTGGGGCATCTGACATCGTAATGCATTGCCATTAAAGCTATGTCAGACAGACGTTGTTCCGACATGACTGATCTAAAATAGGTCTTTATCCTTCTCATTAGGGAGAAGGATCGCTCTGCCTCAGCACTTGATATCGGTAAAGTGCAGGCAATTACAACTAGGAGGCTGTGGATGTTTGGGAAAAAATCTTCAKTACATACAGCAAGCGTCTCGAGGAGCTTGTCTGGAAATGTATCCCTCTGAGTAACACTTTGCCATAACACCTGCCATTTTTGAAGCTCACTCTTGGGGGACTTTGCAAATGGCATATCTGCCTCCCAACCTGCATCAACCCTGCAATGTTATCTGTGAGGTTCAGGTTCTTGCTGTCAATTACAGATGGTATCAGTGACAGAAGATGGTGTGCATGGCGTCCTTCGTCAGTTAGAGACCGCTCTTTCATCTGGCTTATAAGTGAATCAAGAAGTGGAATTGCAATGGCTCTTTTATAATTGACTTCAGGACTTTCGCTTGGTGTGTTATTTCGGAACCTTTGAAGTGCTGTTTTCTTTGGAACAGATTCAGTGACTCCTACATTTGCTGCCAAATCTTTTATGTCACTATACCACGCTGCAAATCTATCATCTACAGCATTTCTGGTATCCTGGATACTTGATAACATCGTCAACCATTTTGTAAGCCTCGTATACGTCTTGATCTCTTTTCTGAAGTTTGAATGCAACGGCTTTGACATAATCCAATCCGTTCTTCGTTGTAATAAAAGCAACAACAGTCATAAATGAAGACATGGACGATTTGAGTCCATGAGCTTTAACAGTTGTATCTTTATCCCAGTCCCATTCTCCAGTAGATGAACATAGATCTGGGTACTCATTTTGAGAAACAATAGCATCTAGAACTATAACACAACAATCTCATATAGCTCCAGAAACGTGTCAAAGCTTGTATGTCTCTCAACCCATCGTGTTTTCCAGAGCCCTGGAAGCTTCTTTCGTGAACAGTCGGGAAGGTACTTTGAAAGGACAAGCTCAAATAGCTTCTGTCTCTTTGGGCTATTTTTAAGGAATAGGTAGACTTCATTTATGACGCCTATAAGGTTTCGTACTTCTTGAACTTTACATGATGCTGCGATGGAGAGGTTAAGGTAGTGACAATAGCAATGTGTATATAATGTTTTAATAAAACTCGCGATGCTGTTGGTGTTGTCATGAAAGAAAAAAAATCACGATGGCTCTCATAGGGGGAGGGGGTTGCAACCCCCAAAACCCACCCCTAGATCTGCCACTGGAGTCGAGAGTACCAGGTCGAGAGTCGAGACTACCCTTTATCTGAGTATCCAATTATAGTTCCTATGATTTCTGAGCATAATTAATTTCCTCAAATATAAATCAATAAATATAAATGAGAGCGTACATATATAATAACACTGATGATCATGGGATAATAAGGCGGTCTTCTCCGATGTCATAGGCTAATTATGATTCATTGCACCATTAAATGATTACTGTACCCTCCTTACAAGGTGCATTGGGTTGTTCTTTTTCTGCGTTCTCGAGCTCCACTGAATTTCTTTAGCCGTCGCCTTAGCAGCTGGGGCCAAGCAATCACTGAGGGTAATTGGCAAGGCATTTTAACGTCTTTGATAGAAATCTAACACATAATGCCTTTCTGAATAAATTCACACCAGTCTGACGTCAATCATTCACTGGCAAAAAAGATTTGTGCTGCTGCCCTAGAGTTTAGCACGAAAAAAATAGCTATCACGATAATTCAATCTCAGTATATATATTACACTTCTTTTGTTTCACTGCACGAGTTCAAACTCTTAAATGAAATCGAACAGATTTCGGCTATTTATTCAATGTAAGATCTTTTAAGATCTGATGCTGTGCGAGCTGTCATTGATTGAAAGGCTGAGCTATATGAAACTCAATATCTTCCAAGAATCCGAAAAACAAGGGGAAAAAAGACTGTTATCTGCGCAGATACACAACTATATATATATATATATATGTATACACTCGATTGCAGAAACGTTGTAGTATACATTTATACATTTATACAAATATCTAATGAG